GCAGTCAAATGCAACACAATGCAACTGTATGGGTAGACTTTGTTGGATTGTGTTAGATTAAACCCAACCTTGGTGCAGAGAAGCAGTTGCACTGTGCCTCCTGCCACTGCTGCTAACTTCAAGAAAGTACAACCTTCTGACCTTGGTTGCATTTATTCAATTTAACAGGTTGTGGATAATACATACAACCTTTGTTCTTGTTACCAAGATTATGCAACCACCCCCCCCACAATAGCTTTTGTGCAGTCCCACTTTTCCAACATTTGTAAGCTGTTAAATGACTACACCAACTTGTACCAAACACGTGCGCAGGTGACAGGGCATGCCACCGAGGAGCAAATTGAAGAAGCCCTGCGTTGCTATGGTAACAGGCCCAATTATGTACACAAGTTGCTCTGCAGTCTGTTTAACATGACGCTGTACCTGGAAAAAGCCAAGCCGCATATCATCAAGGTAAGCCACATTTGTCCGTGGACCAGCATGCACAAAAATGCAAAACCCAGACTCAAAAAACATTTCAACATGAAACTGTTAGTCTTCGGCTACAGAAAAAACAGAATTATGCCTGTGACATGGAATTGAGATTTTCTGGCAAACCCTGTGGTGCTTGCCAAAGGCAAATGGGTAATTTTTTTAGGAAATCAATTCTCCACAAGATTTTTCAGAATTGCCCATTTTTGTTCAAATACAGGCCTCCCAACATAATGTCATGATATTTGCATAATTTTAATGCATGAACTTGAAGTGTGTGAGCTCCTAAATGGAAGAATTTCCATTCAAGGAGTACTGTTTGGGGACAAGTCGTAACATTGATAGATTTTTTTCTCCCTTTTGTGTGTGTGTGATTACCTGTACAGCTTATCCTTCCTGAAATGAAATCTCATCCGCATCACCTCGGAGTTCAAATGGCCGCCAGGTAAGGTTATTCACTGTAGGGCCGTGTCTGAATTATTGGCTACAGCTTCAGGGTAATATGTTTCAATGAAAGGCACTTCCTAACGGCTACAACCACTTCCTGTTGACTGCTGTGTTACTCCCAGCCACAGCCAATTGATTGAGACATGACTTGGGTCTGGCTCAGTGTGGCAATGGTAGGGGGCAACTCTTAGCCTTCTCACAATAGAGGTTTTTCACGTGAGGTAGCATGACGGGCAAAGACATTTCAGGAAGCATACCATGTAGGTGGAGGCGCTTGCAGTTTTGAATCTCTGTAATTCTATTGGCAATTTCATGTACGCAAAAATGTTGAGAGATTTCCAAGGTGTAAATTGAATACCGACTGTCAAAAATCACACAACAGGACACATGACCAGTTTGTAACTAAATGAGCACAAACTGCAGTTACTTGCTGTAGTTGGAATTCTCCTTCATCAGAGTTTCCAGTCAAAACGTCAAGAACAGGATCATGTGACTATTCAAACCTTAGATCCACAAAATCAATGTAGACTTTCGGTATGAAATCATCGGAATCACCCTAAGTCAAAGGCAACATCAGTTCATTTGTTCATGTGACCAGTTTTCCATTTATTTTGATATTAGATGGAACCACTGTTCTGAAACCCTGTTGGACATGATCTCACACTTTATTTTCATATTTGTTACAGCACTCTATAATTTCTTAGGTAGACAATCAAACAGTCATCATATGATCACATGATACTTCACATTTTAACCTTGGAGGTTTTTCAAAAGCCAATCCAGAACCCCATTTTTTGGGAACCAAAAATTGGGAAATTTCTTCATGTAACCTTCCATGACTTCTCTGAGGGGTGAGGCTAAATAATGGGGCAGTGTCTCATTTTGGGAAGGAAGGGAAATGATAAAGTCTCTGACGTCGTTTTTCCGTCGTTTTATTTTAAACAATTTTTCTCCTCTTTTGGGGGGCATGGACCCCATTGGGCCCCCCACCCCTGTTTTCTCCGATGAATATCTTCAGCTGTACTGATGAATTGTAAGTGGCAGTGTTGTGTCTTTCCCTTCTAGTGCCTGTTTATACAACCTGACCAAGCATCATCTAGCTGACAGCATCCACGTCTCTGACTTGAGTGAAATGGTTCATCTGACACTGGATGCTATGGAAGCATTTCCCAGCCAGCAGCAGGTAATCGAACTGGGCCTCTAAGGTACAGATGTCATATAAAAAGTCTGGATTAGCAATGCCCATAATCACATCGATCATTGAGGCCACTAGCGGCCATCTTACTGTATCCAATACATAGGTAATAAAAAGGCCTGCTCTTCAGTATTAACCATGTCGGTCATGGCAGCAATAGTTACATGCAAGCTAACGATCACCTTTGTGTTTGGCACAGTAATATGGCTACCGGTAGCTTCAGTCAGTGAAGTGCATTGTGAGTCCAGACTTGTTTATGTGGCGTCTGTCCTCTCTGACACATCAGTGAAAGCTTTAGAATTTGTAATTTGGACCTTGGACCAAATTTCAGGTGTTTTTTTTTAACCACCCAGGCCATTTTCATCTCTGGGGTTGTAAGTCATGGAAAATTTTCAGGCGTTCAACCCTACAATGTAGGTGATTTGGTATCCGGTCCATGCAGGAACAAGAGATGGCTTGTCTCATGTAGGAAAGACAAACGATGCACAGGGATAATTGCTCGCAAACGGACTAGTGGCCAAGATATTTGATTTGACGTCGTATTTGTGATGCTGTCTCTTTTTTTAGCTCCAGAAGAACGCCTTGTTGACACTGTGCAGTGACAGGATACTGCAAGACGTGGTAAGCTCAAAAGGGGAGGTTGCAAGTTCTTCAAACACTTGAGGGTGGGGGTTGGAATGGGGAGGGGTAAGTAGTCATGGCTGATGGCCAATGTCAACATGTTGGTCAGGGTTATTTGTCCAGTCCTTTGGTCATGGAGGCTATTGCGGTCATTACATAGTGGCTCAAGAATGATATGGTGCGGGTGGAGTTTTCGTAAACCAGAGACAATTGGTAATCTATATCCGTGCCCACCATCAGACCCTGATAGTGTTATGGTCTTAAGGCCTGTTCACACTTGAATATTTGATCTGAAGTTACAGTGTTGCATTTGTGTTCACTTTTGCACCAAGTACAAACCAGCTTTCAAAAGAATTTGGCTTCTAGAAAGAAATAGTGCATATGTCAATGGCAAATTGGTCCAGCCACTAACCAATGGCTTCCGTGGCACCTGCGTCTTTTTCAGCCATAGCCAGGTAAATTGGACTTGGCCAAAGTGTCAAAAGGCTAAGTGCAGAGTTGTACAGGTAAATTTGTTTGATATTTAAAATTTAAAACTGAAACGGTTCTCTTCGTGAAGACCTTTGGTGGGTCACGTTTCTTTGACGGGTTTTTAAATGACTTAATTGTGGCAGAACTTTGACCGGTATCGTGCCTCCAAGATGGTGATGGATTGCCTCTTCGTCTTCGACGACGCTCCGGTGACTCGTATGTCGGTGGCGATATGCTCCATCCTGGCTGCCAAGATATCAACAGAACAAACAACGCTTCTGGGTACCAAGCGCAATATGCAGGTAGAAATCATAACCATACGCCGAGTGATTTCCTTAGCCTTTTTCCTCCATTGGCCTCAATATCCGTGTAGTCGTTTTGACACAACCACCTTCTGCTAAGTGCTCTGGACAGCTTGGTAGGAGTAACACTCCCAGACTTGTCTCAGTTAGGGCCCTTACTTGAAATCATCTAAAGACGTGTGAGAAAACTCTTCTCTCAACAGCTGTTCCCCCAACTTTAAGCATTATTGATGTCGATTACATTATCCATTTTCGAACATGGCCCACACAACGTGAAATACTAATAAGACATTTGTAAGGTGTTTTCCCAGGTTTAAATCTTACTAAAGAACTAAAGAAACTTGCCATAGTTGGGTATGGAGGATTTTCTGTCGCGTGATTTTTGACGGCCAGCGTTCAATTTACACAGATGTGTGTGGAAATGCGCGCCTTCGACCTCTCTCAACATTCTGGCATACATGAAACTGCCGTAGAATAGAAACACACTGATTCAAAAATGCACACCTCTCCATGTACATAGTACGCTTCCTAAAATGCCTCGCGCCTCCGTGGACATGGTATACTTCTTGAAATGCCTCACACCTCCATGGACATGATACGCTTGCTGAAATGCATTGCCTGGCATGTTACGTCACATGAAAACCTCTTTGCTTGGTTTCCTCTTTTCAGTATTAACTAGGAAGCCTTTTCTTTTTCTTTTTTTAACAGAAATTGTTGCAAATTGTTAAGCAGAAGGCAGACACACTGTCCGTGGACATCACGCTGAAATTCACCTTGAGTGCACTCTGGAACCTGACGGATGAATCGCCATCGACGTGTGCCATATTCATCAACGAAGGTGGCCTGGATCTCTTCATTCACATCCTTGAGGTACAAAAGTAACACATAGTTGGTGTCATTGTGAATTCTGCTGATGTTAGAAGCAGGGAATTTATATCTGTCAAAAATGTGATACCGTGCCACAAGATGATGGCAAACGTTGTACTTTGTTATACGAGCAAAAGAAGACATCCATATAATATTGTTGTCTTGCATGAATTTTTTTTTCAAGCATTTGTCACAGTTTTGTTGCTATTTTGAGTTTGCCATATCTCCTTTTCATCTCGTAACAGATCTTTCCTGATCAGGCCACTCTTCAGACAAAAGTCCTAGGGCTAATTGTAAGTGTAATATTTGAAGTTTGATGATTTTATAATGGAACTGTTTTTTTGTTTTCTTGAGTACTCCTGAAAAAGTGGAATGGTTTCAGGTATACACTGTTGGGCCTGTATGTTTGACATGGATCTGGATCAGTTATCCCAAGGCTGGTTTGCTCTCTGGGTTCTGGCACCAGTGAACCAACACTGGATTACTGATTGCGACTGGGTTCCATGTGAAACAGACAGGCCACTGGACTCCAAGGGTTTTGCAGTGCGTTACATTTGACATATTTTAGTTGGTAACCCATCGTTGTTACGCAGATATTTTCTTAGCCTGGCAGATTTTTGCATTCAGCAGCTCCGTGCAATGTGAGCCCCGTAAGTGGTGCGCAGTTTTTTTCATCGTGCATCCTTGACCCATTTGTTGTTCGTGATTTGCAGAACAACATTGCCGAGGTGCCGGGACAGCGAGACGGCCTGCTCAGAAATGACTTCATTGAGCATTGCAGGTAACCTAGGCTCTTGTTTTCCCAGATTTTCATTTTGCACAGAGCTGTTTCCATGACGACGCACCCGTTTTAGGATTTAGAATAACATTATGTCCTTTTCATATAGCCATCTCTTATTATTAAAATCGCTCCGACTCCTTAACCCTAACAGTCCTTAATCTTACAGGAATTCAATGGGAAGAGTTTTTATTTGAAACATTTCCAAGTAACATCAAGTCCTGTCAAATTTAATAATTGACTCCACCTTCTTCAATTCTGCAAAAATCCCCAAACCCTCCTGTGGGCATTGAGGGCATCTTGGCAGGTTGTAGAATGATCAAAGAAGACAATGGTTTTAATGTATTTCCCCAACATTTTAGGATGCTACTTGACAGCAAGCAGATTGAGGTCAGCTATTTTGCTGCTGGCATCATCGCCCATCTGCTCAAGGAAGGACCCGAGTATTGGACACTACCCCAGGCACTACGCCTGGCCCTGCAAGACTCCCTGGTAAGAGCACCAATTTTGTTTTCTCGTGGGAAGAAAAATCATTCAAAGATTTGATCTTTCAAGCTGTTACTACAAACTCTAGCAGTTTGTCACGCCAGCTTCAATTTCATTGCTAGGTGATCTGACGTCCAAAGCCAAACTTGCCTGAGAATCTATTTCAACCGTCACATGTCACTTGGTGGTTTGGCGTATTCCTCCTTTTTGCTAAACTTTCTTTGCAACTTTTCTCCTGAAATTTGCAATACAAGTTTTCTTAGCATGTGCGCTCAACAAGTTTGCAATTGAAATCAGTAAATCTCAGAATACCATTTAAAATCTTTTGCTGTGTATTTCTAGCAGGCATGACCCTTAGACAAATCTATGAATATCTATTAGCTTTGTTGATATGAATATACCTCTCTTTGTTGGAATTCTCCCCGTCAAGCTCAAGAATATCCTGGCATGGAAGAACCCAGCGGGTGAGATGGTTGCGTATCGTTCCTTCAGTCCGTTCTTCCCGCTGCTCAAGTGCAACATTGCTGAGGTCCAGCTCTGGTCTGTTTGGGCCATTCAACACGTCTGTACCAAGAATGGTAAGAATTCTCTATACTTCTGCCTCCAATTCACGGATTCATGACCTCAGGAAGGAGGAAATCAAGATTTGAAAACCTGCTGATAGAGGAAAAGCTCTCTCTCTGCCCAACTTCCGCTCAGAGTTACATGTACATCTCGTGGCATCACCTGTACTATTGTAGTAAATGCATGTTGCACCTGATTAATTTGTGTGTTGATCTTGACCTTCAGCGTCCCGGTACTGCCCAATGCTTGTCCAGGAAGGAGGGCAAGATCTTCTACAAGAGATGGTTTCCAGCAGGCACATCCACAGCGAAGTCCACAAAGTGGCCAAGAGTGTGTTGGAAATGGTGGCAGCCATTAATTCCAAGAGTAATCAGACCTGATGTGAGTACATCCCACTGCTGCCACCAAGACTCATCAGGCCCTGGAGCTCAGGAACAACAGTAGTCCAGAGAAACAGATTTCATGAGGTCTATGCAGATGCTCAGTCTTAACTCATCTTTGTAGTCAGCAGTAGTCCGGACTCTGTTCATCGAGGCAATCCCACTTCTGCCACTGCTGTGAACAGCTCTATGCAGGAATTACTGAAGATCCGGTGTTTGTTCACAAGAACCAAGCAACAGAGCACAGTAGATTTTCACATTGAAAGATGGCGTACTCTTTGATGGTTTAGCAGTTTTTTTTGGGGGGGGGCAGATCTGGTGGCATTATTTTTCAACTCAATCTTGATTTTAATCTATAAGTAATTATATAATTAATTTATTTCACGTATGTTATTTCACACTTCTGTTGATTAGCCTGCTAACTAAAAACCCCATTTTATCTTAAAGCTAAAGATCAGATATTTGCAATCAGTAGTTATGCACAAATAAGGATCAGAAATTAATATTGAAGCACAGAAGATGAATTCTGTGACAGTTGATTTTTTTTGGAAGGCTTAAAATAACTCAGCAAGAGACCATTGCCAACTGTGTATAAAGAGCAGAATTATTCTACTCAGGTCAGGGGAAAACCAGACAGTCTCTGCAAAATTACAGTCTGAAGTTGAGCAACAGTGTAAACATTGTAAATTATACAAGATATGTTTCTCTTAAAATATAACGCAATTTTGAAATCTTGTACGTAAGTTCTTTGCCATTTTAAAAGAGGTTGTTTTGAAACTCAAATTTTGAGATTTGAGAATTTTTTATTTTGAGCAAAAGTGAAAATATTAATTGTCTGGGGAGGGATCTTACATGGTTTACAGCAAATCAATGCATACCTCTAGCACACATGAGCCATGAGGTGAGCACTCATGCTTCTAGACTGGTTCCAGCTCCCTCCCTTTAAGTCTGTATGCACAGAGAAATGCAGAGATTGGGAACCAGCCTACTTGCCGCTCAGTTTTGAGAAAAATATTTTCTTTCCCCGGTATGCACTGTCATATGTAACTGAACAGATGAGTTGGCAGGAACCAGCCATATGTAGGTGGATTTAACTGGTTTGCTCTGCTGTTAAGCAGGGATTCTGGTTTTCATCTTGAAACCTGAGTTCAAGGTGTCTTTAAGCTCCTGCAGCATTGCTCTCAGCCCCCCCCCCCCGACAAGAATTTGACAGGTGTTCCTGTGGACAGAGCACTCTGAATTCATGCATTGATGCTTGCCAGTCACTGGCTATATACGCTACATTGTAGTTTGGCTGGGCAAATATTCCCCCTGCATAGGCTACATCTAAATCACTTGGCTGTCTGTAGAAATTAGGTAGTGGTCTGTGGTCTCGGCCACAGCCAGTTTCCATAGAGTCGTGTGTAATTTCAAGCCGCAGCCAAGTGATCTGGACTCTCTTTTGGCAAGTTCCTCGGCTCCATTCAGATGGCCCCAAGTTGTAGATCATTGGATAGTTTATTTCCTACTGATGTATTTTACAATTGATTTTTTTTTCTGGTGTGTATTTGTATCTGGATTATTTGCTGAAGGCCTGTCTGCATGGCCAGGTTCTCCTGAAAGTGGTTAATTCTGTATAATATTTTATGTCAAGGAACTCAAAACTATTTAGCATTTAGAATGCATTGTGAATTTTTCTTTTCAACGTTAAAACCACTTAAATTATTGGAATTTTTAAAGTAAGATGTATTTAACTGAAACGTATGAATTACATGCAAGATGGAAAAGTCCCGTCAAACCATTTTTGAGGTTTGGACAATTTGGTCTAGTTTTTGTCTGTCAAAGTCTTATTCAATCATGTTTGAATCTTGAAAGTCTTTGTAAAAACTCCTTAATTTTTTTCTGAATTTCCCTCCCAAAATACCTCCCAATCTTCCGTACCAGACTTAGTCGACAGTCATGCCCTGTGGACTGGATTGCTGATTGTGTTGTATGTTTAGGAGATTTCTATCAGAGAAATATTTTGCAATCTATCTTAGGGCATCTTGAGTGCAACAAAAAAATGGCTGCAACATAACACACCATATGCCTTATCTGTGTACAGAGTAATTCGACCACCAGAATTAGAAGCCATTACTGTGGTGGCACAACCCTCGTGGACAGGTGGTACGCGCGCTACATGCCTCTTTGACCGATAGGGTGTTGTGATTTGCCATATGCACGCGCGCGTCAAGCTGAAGAATGTGCGTGTGAGTGCACCCCAGTTATGGCGTCTAATCGGATTAGTCTATAGGGAAAAATTTTGAGCCATCTTAGTTATTAGTGAACAATTTTCTGCTAGTAGCAGCAAAGATTACAGTATGTCGATATTTAGGAATTGACAATGACTTAACCAGGGGGTGTGAATGAGAGGCGAGTTTGTATGAATAAATTATTGCAACATAAGAATCCGTTTTGTTTATTTTTTGTCGGCGTTAGTTTTGGGGTTTTTTGTTTTTGTTTTATTGTATTTTGTTTTGTGTTTTCTTCTGTGGGGTTTAGGCAAATTGAAAAGCTTTTTATTTTTGTATGTGCCGAGTTGTTTGGTATATGGTAATTTTTGTTTCAGTAGGGAATGTTTCGGTTTGGTTTGGGTTGTGTTGGTTTGGTTATTGGCTTTATTATTGGTCTGCACGTTTTTAAATGTTCTGTACATGGGGGAACTACATTCGTGGGAAGATCGTGGACCGCACGACTATAAAACACGCAGTGGATTGTTCATTGTCACATCGCCCATAGGTGACCTTCGTATTTCCATTGGAATTTTTAATTCTTTCACCGACCGCACAATTGTGGATCCTGTTACATTTCAAGCCGATTTGAGCAATACGCGTACCTCGAAAAGTTTAACGGGATTTCTCTCTCCAAGCTCTCTCGTTATGCCTGGCACCTCTTCAAATCAGAAGGCTATTTCCCTGGCCCAGGGGAAAATGAAACCCAGAACGGACCAGCATGCCTTGCCATATCATTTTTTGTGTTATTTGTTAGAGTGATATCAAAATATCTTTGAAATTAGACATCACTTTTGAAACTTGGTTCAGTACACGCCTCCGCAAGATGGGGGTATTGTTAGTGTATGTGTGTGTGTCTGGCTCAATCTTTCGGCAATTGCACAACTGATACGCTTCAATGATTTTTCGGTACACTAACAAATAGATTGAAAAGTTGGCCTGCAGGTAAATGCTTAGTCACCAGTGAGGTTCTGGTTCCCTTCCTGGTGACATTTTTTTTGTATAACCAACTCGATTTCTGACCACGTTGGACTACTTTTGAAGTCAACACCCGACATTGCTGCTGTGGTGTAATGATGCTGTTCCTGTGAAACGCGGATTAGCAACTGAAATCAAGTCAGTTTTAACCCAGGACGGAATTGTGATTCGGTCTGCGATACCGACAATGACAGGTAATACAGTCATGGGCCCTTTGAAACACCATTCCATGTCTTTTATGACACCTATGCGGATAGTGTGTAAAACAGAGAAATCCGCAGCAGCGAGGAAAACATCACCGAAATTCATCCGTTGTCTGAGGGGATTAGATTAGCTCAGATTTATTGCCACACATGTGACAACTTTGGATCCAAGGCGCGACTGTAAAGAGATATAAACGTCCAATCTTCAATCACAGTCTAAATATTAATCGTGTTTTCACTGTGACTGTCGTTACGGAATCATGAAGCCAGTGAGATAGAAGTCCAAGTATACGGACATCACTATATTTTCCCCGACAAGTGGTATGGAGCCAACAGAAAGCGAAAACGTGTCCTAAAGAGTCAAATTTATTAAGGAAAATGTCGAAGCATTACTCAGAAAATACTTCGGTGCTGCCAGTATTTTGACAACCGAACCCATCTTATCTATCAAAAGTTCAGTTCTAGACTTGATTTGTAGGCCTACAAACGTCAGACTTAATTTTAGATTCCAAAATTAAAAACTTTTTTATATCAAAGGAAGTTATGAATTCCAGCCTGGTCTCGAATAAAGTCTAAAATAAAAACCACTTTGGACCATGACAAGCTTAATTGTTTCCATCTCAGCCTGACTCTGATTAAAGATGGTGATGCGGTCTATTTGTATCGGATCCACAGATCACTACGTGTCGATGGCCCAAATAAGGGCATCCAAGAAACTGAAAAATGAATCCCTATCGACCCAGGAGACAGCATTTGAACAAGAGGAGCCGTATGCCGAGATGTCGTTTACTAACACCGACGACGGGCAGTCGGAAGAGGGTGATGACGCGCCGTCTGGTTCGGGTGCATCATGGTCTACCTTCGGGGAGTCTGCTGAAGAACGGTCCGGTGAAGAAGGCTATGTAACGTACATGCCGCAAACAAGAAAGGTATATAATAAAAAAGAGTTTTTTTCTTGTCAATTTAAATAATGCTTTTTTTTGCGCATAAGAAAACATATTGCAAGCAACGGCAAGAGAATTGGAAATGTCAAGTCGCATTTTTTCCTTGTACTAAATTTTATAGGTATAAATTTCAAGCCCCAAAGTCCTGTGTTTTGGTTTGAATCCATTATGAAGAGATCAATATTATATCAAACAGGATTGCAAAGAACAACCCGCAATTCAAGAAATAAAAATTTCGATTAAAACGCACGTTTGTTAATTGTGACGAAGACCTCATAAACTGTTGTCCCGTCTCCTTTCTTATTTAACCATTTTAATCCGGGTGTTGTGTTAACCGCTTTCTGCTTGTGTGCTGGATAATCATCCATAAATTCCATAATTACATGTATGTGCAATTCTTGGCTTTTGTTTCCATACTGCTGTTGTTGGCACCTGTTGACCAGGTCGTGTTGCACCCAGGGAACGCCGGGCTGGGCATGTCTATCGTTGGAGGAGTAAAGGGCCCCAATGGACTACTCCCTGTCGTCATCACAGACATCGATCCCGGAGGAGAGGTGGAAAAGAGCACGTTAGTCAAGGTATTCCTGACATGCATAATATCCGCGCAGCTCAGTGGTCGAGACTTGCCTGTATCTGGTGTCTGTTTTACTTCTCTGTTACCCTAAGGACTATAGAGGGCAGAGTGATGTTTCTCCTCATTCTACAGGAGGGGGTCCTAAATTTTGACTTTTTATGACCGTTCTAGGGGGTGAGACTATACATTTAGGGGCTCTTTACACGCCTCGGGACGACAGAGAAATGAAATTGAGCAAAAAGAGGCCTTTTCTCATTTTTTTCATTTTGTACTTTTTTTGCTCCGTTTCTTTTTCTTGGGGAGGGGAAGGCGCGGCTCTTGTTTCCCCCTGGATTCGCCCTTCCTTTAACCGATATGAGGTTTCAGCCAAAGGTGCCACATTGTCGCTGGTAGATTTAATATATCGCTTCCAATGTTTCCCTGTTTGAGCAATCGTCGTGTCACTGTGGCATTTTTCAAACACTGCACTTCCCAATTTCCATGTACAGGTCGGGGACCGCATTGTGAGCGTGAATGGGGTGTCGATGGATGGCAAGACGCACCGTGATGTGGTTCTTGCCATCAGGGCAGCCGGGAGCTCACTCGTCATGGAAGTCCAGGAGGAACAGGGGGATATCCTGGATTATATCTGGCAAAACGTATCTGACGATTAACTTTTCAAGCCGTCAAAAATGCTGCTGTTGTTCTCATCGTTCGTTGTAGTTGCTGCTGTCGATGCTATTTCGTTTGCCATGACCAGAAGGAAACAGGTCCAACGCTGCAGTACACATCTCAAGTTTAATGCCTGCGCAGGTGTAGTGCCGCCCGGCCCAAGGGTACCACCGCAGCAAATCACATCTCGAGTTATGTAGATTAGTAAAATGGCAGGTTATCCATACATAAGCAGGCTGGTGCGATTTCAAGATGCGGCTTCTTTGTAAATGCAATAACTGAAATTATTTTGAAGTTTTAATGCAATAACTGAAATTATTTTTAAGCTACAGTTTTCTAAGAACAGACTGTGTCTTTCGAAATCAGCTTTCAGATATGATTTTGTTATGTTCGTTTGAAAACGGTTACAGCGTTGAGGTAGCATTTATGCCTTTAAAAACAAGAATTTATAACAAAAAGACACAAGAACTAGTAGAAAAAAGTTCAAATATTTATTGCCGTTTACAGAGAAATTGAACCGTAAACGGGCCCCATGCATGTAAAGTTCACCAAACTGTTCTGTTTGCCAGGTTAACTGATAACCTGAAAATCTCTGCTTCAACAGGGATGCCTTTTGGGGACGAAGAAAAAGAGGCAAAAGAAGGATCCAATTCAATGTTATTCACTAGAATACAGCTGAAATTTAAATCATCTTCCTTATTGCTGAAGAATTCAAACTACATTTGGTTCCCACAGAACAATGATCAATGTACATATAAAACAAAATAACTTTAACTCTCATTTTCTCTTTCGATGCTGTACATTCATGATTGTGACTTTTGTGAAATGACAAAAATGAAAACAAATTCTTTACTCATAACAAAAGTTTGTATATAAAAATACAATGTAATTTACTTGAATCTCTGCTTTTTGATATTTAAGTTACAGGCATGAACTGGACGGACTCGGTATCACACTATAATCTGGTTATACCAAAGTTCTACATTCCCATACTGAAGTGCATACAAAAATATTTACAGCTTAATATTCACGCAGATAACGAAGTCTCTAGGGGAGCAATGCATGGAGAGGTAATGCAATAAATTATACCTAGGATCAACATGAACGTCTGCAAAGTGATTTCTTGACTGTTCTCAATGAACTCTTAGTTCTACAAAAATAAATAGTTTTTATCCAATGTTGATTTTTTCCCCCTCTGCTACGACACTAGTCAACCAGAAATCAAGATAATCTCAGAGATAAGTTAGGGATCATTTTGAAAATACCTCATATCAGCAGGACGAAAATCGGTGTTAACTCATTTGAAAAGACTTGATAATCAATGTCAGGAATACAGGGCACCATACAAGTCTTGAGGACCAAGGTTTTTTAGGCCAGAAATGCTAAGGAGCTGCAAGTGAAAAAAAAAAGAGAGGGCTTTCAATTTATTCTTGTTTCCATACAGAAATGGGCGCCATGCAGAACTCCACAAAACTTTATAATCTGCAATGAACAAACAATTCTTTAATTTTTCACACCCCTTTGGCCGTTAACTCATTTCTGGAATTAAGCCAACATCCAGGTTTTCCATTTAAAATGCCCTTGCAAGAGAATTGTGACAGTAGAATAGTTACAAACTACACATGGCAAACCTGTAGTTTTTTTAACCTGTCTGTGTTTCCTTTTTGTTTTTCTTTTTGAAAATGAAGGGAAATGCATGTACCTCCTGGTGTTCAAAGGATGCCTTCAGAAATGGTCACTATGAACACAGAAATACAGGCACTTTTACTTCCTTTTACCAACAGGACAAAACTAGTTCACAATAGAAATCGAAAACAACATTCCAGCTTTTTGTGTTGAATCAAGCTGTTCAAGGTTCTCTGTTCGTGCATCACTGCACATATATTTCAATAACACTATGTATGTGTGATACCTATAGGCTACAAATGTTGAAATTGGGCAGAGTAAACCAGTGGTGCGAAATTTATTCATGTGTGAAAAGGCAAAAAAATCTTGAACAAATTAGAGAATAAGCTACATGAAAAATAACTACTAAGGCTCATGACAGGTAACCCATGGACCCGCTACAAGACCAAATGACAGCCATGTATCTGTTCCCATTTATTGGTTTTATTGTGCAATACTTCCAGGGTACCAGTGACTCTCAGCAACTATGTAGAAACTCCACTGAAAGATTTCCAATACCAATACTCTCTTTAAGCCTGTATTTACATTTACATGTTCCCCCTCCCCTTCACAAATTGAAGCTGAAGGTATGCGCCATGTATACCCTGAAAACGTTCACCGGTCTCTAGGCAGCACAGAAATCTTTTGCTTGCTAAGCGAGTGGTATGCGACAAATCACCCGGAAAACTGACTGACATGGCTTGATGACCTTCTTCACCAAAAAGGATTGCGTGTGAAATCACAAGGCATGCAAGCCATGTACATCTCAACTCAAACAACTCTGAATGCCCATGAAAAAGCCCTTCGGACAAGTTGAAACACAGGTTATAACTAGAACCCCAAAATGCTGAAAGCCAAAGTTACCTAATCCAGCCAAGTTTGAGGGGTATGGACGAGCAGAAATATTCTCACACTGACTGTCTGTTTTTATCAAAACTGTACAAATTCATAACATAAAATTTGAGTAGCCATTGGAAACTCAAAAGTGATGACTAACTCTGCCAATGCCAATAATACAACCATTAATGTACTATTTCTAAAATTCCCCAGACAGAGTCCATTACCTCACATCCCACGCCCACAAATGTGTTCTCCTGCAGCCTCATTCGTGGTAGATACCAAAGACCATTGCCGTGGCAAAGAGAGAGTTGTTACGGAATTCGTAGGATGAAGAGTTGTCGTGGGCTGCATCCCACAGACATCTACTGCTGATCTTCAGACCCTGGTCCCGTAGCTCGCCAATATGCACGAGGGCGATAATCTTGTAACGCCCCAACTGGAGCTCCTTCACTCTTGCCTTCACAACCTGAAGGAATAGAAAATCAAACTTTCTTTCAATCTTGTGATTTTCAACTTGGTCTCTTAGTTGACTGAAATGAACATAAATCTCCACACAGTCATGACTACTTTTGATCCCATGTAGTTATTGATATATTGATCATTTCTGCTAATGACACCAAGGATTAACCAAAAGCGCCCTAGGCACAGCGCAAGCCTGAAGAAACCTGTAGAGAGGAGACTTTGAGAAGCAGTTAAACTTTTGAAGCTGAAAATAGCTAGTGAAACGCTGAAATGTAAAAACACTTTTGTACAGACCAGGTGTATAAAAAAGCTGAAATTCAGGGTCAACATCTACACAAGAAAGCATAAATCTGCTAAAAAGCTGAATTCTCATACCCCTGATGACTTTTACAGGTGGGAGGAAAACCCTAGAGGAATGCTCTGGGTAAAACCCACGGAGTCAAGTAGGGACTGAAAACCAGATCCACACTGCAAAGGTGGAAGGCAAGGAAAGAACCACAACGCCAAACCAACGGCCAAACAATTTTCATTTGATCATTATTTTCAAAGTACTGTTGCCCCTCTTCCTTCCTGAATACCAACTCATCAAAACTGATTGCTAAGCAAATCTGTGCAGTAAGCAGAAATTTGGCGGATAAACTTGTCAAAAGAAATACAGTTTATATGGATTTTTTGCTGGTAAACTAATTGCTAAGCAACTTCTTTTTTCAGAGGGGGGGTTGTTTATGCTTACAGCATCTCTATAAATAAGGGCCCAGGTTCAATTTTATCAACAAAAGTGGACCAAAGTAGGTTGTGTAACTCCACACCTCTATGTTTGATGAAAACTTGTTGCTTGAGAAATATCCAAAGTTCAATGCCACCAAATGAACGTGTCTATAACTGGACTTCCAGAACCCAAAATGCTATGCAACTCAAAACTGTGTTTATTTGCAGTACAGCCAGTATTTGGTCACCTTGACAACCAAAATCATGCTCATTAAAAGTTTCAAAGTAATGTCATGTGTGAGTGTTATGTACATGTACAGTTGACCAAAAAATCAATCATTTTGTGGTAGGCTCCAGAGCTATTCGTTATCCATTTCATGAAACCTGGAAGAAATATATATGCACATTATTATGAATAATTCAATTCAATATGAATTTAAAGTCAAGTCTACTGTGTACTATCCTGCACATGACTTATAAATATTCATTTTGTCAAATACCATTAAGCCACACCCCTTGCTTCTAAGCCACACCTCCCAATCCAGCCCCCAATCTGACAGTGGTTCAAGGATTTTGTGAACGCTGTTGTCAGGCAGCTTTTTTCGACTCAGCAAACACAAAGAACACCAAAGGGCGGGTTAATCCATACTCCATTCTTTAAGCTGGATATTGATTCATGGATTTTCTTTGGTGGTGCAGCATAAAGGTTTTGCAGTGAGATTTAAATCTTTCATTGGATTGAAACTACGCATGAACACACCCAATTTGGTTGAAGAAAAATGGGTTCTGAGGGACACAGATCTTCATTTTGAATCTATTTCATTAATAGGCTGGTCAATATAGTTTTGTGTAGTGATATATATTGTCCTGAAGCACGTTTAGTAAGAGAACATCACCTGGATAATTTAAGGGCATTCAACAAATACATTATTTGGGATAAAAACAGGTGTGATGTGTAAGAGCTTCAATGTGACTGTGATAAAACACAAGAATTTAAAACAAAAGACAATGAAAACAGTTACTTATTCCATTGAGTGGGACAAGATAACAGACTGGGAATTTGGAATGAAAGCTTCTAGTATTCCTTGCATGAGAGACTTCTGCTGACACACATTTACTTGAGAAGAAAAATTTAAAAAAGTGAAATTTAAACTGAAATATTCGTGTAAAGATCCAGAATAAAATTTTGAAAAGCTTATACTGCTTGAATGACTTCTTGAAAAGAGTACCTCTATATCTTCAAGATAACGGACAAAATTTACTGTAAAATCTGATGAACCAGATACATGTATCAAGTGAACAACCAGACTCCAGTAGGCCAGCGTTGGGATGGGTGTGGGTGTACAACCAGTGGCCAGTGAAACATGGATTAATTCACAGAAGATGTTCCAATTATTGCCCACATCAACAAGCCTAGTTCACAATATGTGACACATGAATGGCCAAAAAATAAACATTTAAATACTTTGCATTCTCTTCAATATTTGGCAAGGAATGAGACCATGAGGAAAAACATACAGTAGGTAATACTTCAAGGAAGACCCCCCAAAGTCCTATTCCTAAAATTCATACTGTACTGTCACCATAACACGAAGGTGTTTTGCCATCAAATCACCTTTCAACCAAACAAATTTGGATTTCTAACGTGACATATCCCTTCCTATAACTGTAATCCACTCATTGTGTGACTTATTCACTACTACTTCCTTTGTTTATTATCTGAGTAATGAAAGGAGTTACTAATACATTCCACTGGCGGCCATGACGGGGGAAACAATACTCACGTCCGATATCGTCTTTGTCATCTGTTTACAGAGCTCAGGTTCGTATTTCTCCTCGGCCAGGTAATGTTGCAGCACCTCGCCTAGGATGTCTTTGACCGTGTTGACTGGAAAGCGCTTGGTGGGTTCCATCTGATACGTGGGCTCCAGTTTGACGCTCGACCCTTGCTTGTTGGGGTCCGCCGGTTCGTCCATAAACGAGACGGTGCTGACGGAGCTGTGAAGACAAAAATGGCAAATCCACAAAATATAATGGACATTATAAATGATAGAAGAAAATAATCAAATGAAAAAAATGGCTGTGGGGAACTCAAAGGCCCACAAGGTCATTTGAGTATTACTTTTAGAAAGAGTGTTGACAGAATATTTGCACCGACTGAATCTGAAAGGTGTCGAGTTTTCCTTCGCGCAAACTTTCTCTCTGAAAATTTACAGAATGGTCCCTGGTCACACTTTACTTTTTACCCTGAAATGTTGTTTCCTTCTAAAAAAAAGCTTGTCAGACAGTAATTTTGCAATCTTTGGGAACAGTGTGACCTTTCTTTCTCAATAATTTGTTCCAGCTATGGGGGGGGGGATTCAAGCATTCCATACATGTGCACTGCAATTGGTTCAGACACAAATGTGTCAGATAAATGTTAATTATGTTCCTCAATATATAAGTAATTACAAGCCATGAAAAATAAATGTAACTAGTGATGGATAAATATGCAATAAAAACTTGACATTTCATTACCGGAAATATTCACATTCACAATCGTCTTCAGCCTTTTGTCACAACTGAATGAATGGGTCAAGTTGCCTGTCTGCTTCTCAGTTGACAAGTTACAAGTTTACAACTACTTACCGCTTGCGTGATTCAGCATTCAGAAAAGAATTGACTCTGAGTCTAAAATTGTAATTTAGCATCGCCATGGTTACTGACGTGGAAGTCCAAAACAAAGTTATGGGGAACACTGGCATATGTAAGGCACTCGGAATAGGGCTTCAACTGTGAAAAGCGACTTGTACTGAAAAAAATCAAAATGCTAACTGCTAAGCTTTGGCAAACCTACATAGTATTTAAAAAACAAAATTTGGAAATTGTCTCCTATCTGCTCCCTGGGGGTCCCCGTTAAACACATAATGGCCAGCATTCCCCTTCAAAGAGGCAAAAGGCAAGTGTGTGATGCCTTAAACACACATTCAAGCAGAACTTTGGAACTTCAAAGGGCAAAAGCAAAAGAGTGTCGCTGGAGTTGCGGCTTCCAAGTTTGGATTACCTCAATATGGCTTTATAATGAGTTCAATGTTCTATGTTTATTATTTGGTTTGCTACACAAGCCCAAATGCAATTGTCCTGTGCTGGGAATAAACATTTAAAAGCAGTCATGGTGAACAGCAAGAGAGCAAAAGAAGTCCTGAGAACTGCTTAAGTCTGATTATAATTCTGAGCCATGTTTGGAGAAAAATATTAAGTGGTTGGCATATTTGATGTTCTCTGGTATTCATTCATATTTTTCAACCAATGAAAAGCACGACAGAGACCGTGTCCCAATCACTTGGCTGCGGCTTGAAATTACACACGAGTCTATGGTAGTGGCCACAGCCAGTTTCCATAGAGTTGTGTGTGATTTCCGGCCGTAGCCAAGTGATTCGGACACGGCCTAAGATTCTGGATATGAGAATACCATGTGATTGCTACACTACATGTATGCATTTGACTAAGGTGTCCTTGGCTTATATTGGAGGATCTGAATAATTACCTTTCTAAGTCCCAATATGTCCTATAGGAAATCCTGAAGCATTTTTTCCAGTGTTACATCTATTTATAGACCCCTTGCAGCTGGTACTCGGTAATGGTTATTGTAACATGGCAAGGAACCATTTAAACATGGAATGCAGTCCCTATAGATACTCTTAAATGTTTTTTTCCCATTATTCCAAGGAAATGCTCAATGGCCATCGCTTTCCAGACTCCCCACATTGTTGATCAAGTGTGACAATGGCTTGAACGCATAACTAGGAGCCAAGACTATTCCTTTGTAAAATCATGTCCCAGCTCCTGTTGGTGCCTATCACCGATTGGCTGCTTGTTATATGCAAATACAAAAAAAGAGGTAACTTTCTGGCCAATGAGCTTTTCCGATGTACACGAAAGGAATACAAGGAAAAATGAGATAAGGATGCAAAGTTTGGGTGATTTTTCTTACAGCTTTTCATTTTATCATCTCTTTTGATCTCCTCACTTTTTGTAATCTGGACCGTGCCTTACATCATGGACAAAGATGCCAGTCATTCAGTCATTTCAATCTAGGTTCTAAAGACTTCTAGTTTTACAGAAGAGACCACCACTACGATGGCACCACATTAAGGTATATGTCTCATGTTTCCTTACACTTAATGAGACCAGACTAGCAAGTATTAATACCCTGTGGATAAACAGGTCTAATTTATGAGATGTGCATAACCTGTACAGGACTGTGGAATCATAACAAAACTAGTTTCTGGGTCCATTATTTTATTATTTTGATAAGACACTGTGTTTTGCAGTGGTTATTCCTGAGAAAGAAGTTTGAATTTCACCAGCTTTAGTACATGTGTATCATAAAGACAACTTTCAAAATTCCTCTAATTCCAATAATTCTACAGAAACACAAAGCTAAATACACACAAGGGTATTTCAAGGACAAAACAACATATTTTAGAATTAAAACTGACACAAGGCTGCTTAGTAAAAACTGTGATGAATCTGTGTAACATGAACACACAAAAAACTGACCTTTTATTAAGTTTCATAACAGTTCATGTGAAAAATAGATGAAACTGTTAATTTTCTCAACCAATTGAAAAAAAATACTTAGATAATGAAATCCATACATCTCAGCTACATAACCAGTCTCAAAATTTTTTCACAAATATACATTTACATGTACATGTATAAAGGGATGAAATCCCTTTACAGTTTTATATAGTCTTTACAGTCTTAATTGAAATGGTTAACAGAAAACAAATTAATTTGCTAATTAAAGAGGCTTATTTCCAGGAAACACTATATACGTACCATACAAAATATTCAGTCATGCCTTTTATTTAAGCATCATTACATTTCAGCAACCATCTGCTTGACACTTGACATGAGTTTCATGAGAGCTCTTTAAAATAAGATCTCATTACATGAGGCATCATTACAATGAAAAACAACTACGTTTTCATTGGCACAGTGAGCAATAAGATTGAAGTTGAAACTACGTATGTCAACATTACAATTGGCAGGAAAAAATGGCGACTGACGCACATTACACAACATGAGAAAGGAGAACCATAAAAGAATACCTTTTCCTGAGTTTGGACAGAAATGAAATGGTATGGGCCCTCGATCTGATCGTTAGGCCCGTATGGGCCGGAAGTGTCATACATCGGCTTCGTTGAAGCTGGAACGTCATGACGACAGAGCTTCCTCAAGGCACAGCGAGAGACTACAGCCTGGCAACCAGCTGACAACGAGCCTCTTGAGGCTCTATGCGACCATGACTAATTACACCAGTGCGCCAAATTATTCGCCACTTCAGGGTTCGTGTAGGAAAAACCTGCCACTGTCTGGCTCATTACACTAGTGCCAATTACGACCACTCACTGTCGGCCTACAATTCTACACACTGGGCAGAAAACACAGGTCGTCCCCAACATAAGCTTTTCAGGTTTGACCACACATCTTCTGCTAGTCATTTGGTAGGTCAGGACCAAAGATTTGTTCAAAGCAATCTCTCATGTGTCTCTAATTAGAACGATCAAAATCCGATCTTAAGCTAAATCGCCATCCAAAGTGCAGATAGTATCAACGCTAAGTAGTGCACACATTGAGGTTAATGGCTAGTTGATTAGTGTGAACTGGAGGGTTACGATATTGATGTGGAACACTTTGTTTGCATAAAAGTGAACCCTTCGCAGATAGGCTTTAAAATTTTATCAGCCTTTTCTTTTTGCATAGAGATCAAAAATTAAACATTACTACTGACGCCCTATCTTGAATGGATACCTAAGAGAATGCTTGGAACATAATGCAAAACAATTTCCTTCGTCAGCTCCATCATCATTTTAAATAATATGCCATCACTTCTCAGTATGAGGGGGTCAATGAAAAAAAAATTCAATACAAGAAAGAGGCAACATTCTCTAATTTTTCTTGAAGTACATGCACATGTACATTTGTATGTTATCATCACCCAAGACCATGTAGACTGACTCAGATGAAGCTTTTTACTGCAATTTCCATGAAGTGTCATAATTCACCATGCTTACGGTAACACTGGTTTCAACAACTGAGCTGTTGCTGAACTAATCCTCAACTAACCTGACTCGACTCTCAGTTCTTCCCTTGCCATTTTGGACCGACAGCCGATTAGTCTGTGCTGGCACACTGGGCCGCCGCCGACTTTTGATCCCACGCTGCCGGGAAAAAGAGTGCGCGGCGGGTGCAAACGTGACCACTGCTGCTTGAGACATGGCGCAGAGACAGGACTGAGACGTGTGCCAAGAGAAGGAGCAAGGTCCGAGAGAGAGCTACACGAAACCCTGTTCCTGTGACAATGACGTAATCGCGGAAACTGGCCTTCTCAACCACCTCTACCGACCTCCCTCATCGTCAAACACAATTAATAATGAATTTGGCCCATATTATTCAAGGCATGCAAATTTGCTTCCTCTTGGTACACTTGTGTACAAACAGCAAGCCCAACTTTTAAATGAATTATATATTACAGTAGCGGTTCTTTATGTGGGCTCCTCACTTGGCAAAACTGTGGGGCAATGCATTAATTAATTATACAGTTCCAGCTTGAAACTGGCTTAAAGAGCCCAAAGGAATAAATAAATGATTGCAGTTGGTCAAGCAGTCTGAGGAATTTACATGTATCTCCCAAACGAGTCTTCAGATGGACCGACTTGTGAAATACAGCAAAAGGCCACCTCAAACTGTCACAAGAAATTGCTGGCAGAATTGTTTAAATTTCCCATTCTTTAATGATACCAAAGCAGGAACCCAACATGTTGGGGCTTATCTTAAGACTTAAACTGAAAATCGTTATTACACAATTAAACCTGTGCGTAAACAAAAAGGTTTGACATCAACCTTTGATCGATCAATTCTGTAATGATTGTACTATCTAAGCTACAGACAATGTGAGCTACATGTATAGGATTTCTTCCTACAAAAAGACCTCAGAGCAAAAATCAATATTCTCAGCAGCATATTTTCAAGCATCTTTATGTTACATTTGTCTACAAGGGAAAATACTGGGAGTCATTCAATGTGTTATATTGATACATTAGAACAGCACGGTTACTACAAAAGAAGAGGTGGATATATATAAAGTGTCATAAAATACGAATAAGCATCTACCCCACGCGGGACAATGAGAATTGTTGCATGCATGGCAACGTATTTAATAATGCATCTTTCCAAACCACTGCAGAACAATTTACATGAGAAGGGAAATCAATCAACACTCCGAATACACTCTTCACCCAGTTGATGTCAATTCTCCATTGGGCCACACAGAAAGTGTTTGTGTGTCCTATTAGATTGAAAAAAGGGTTGGCCAGCGGATGACTATGTTTTGTGTTCCTCTCCGTTTTGGCTCGAATTTTTCAACAAACCATATCAGGGTAGCACAAGGATAAATCTTTGTGTGTGTGCACTCATCAGTAACAGCATAAATGTCAGCATGTGTAATCACTGGTATCNGAGGTAAATACTAATTGCCAATGTGTACACAAAAATTAGGCTTTACGGTTGGCACCATACTTTTTTATCGGTTTGAAACAAAGTTATTCATCATGTTTCAAGTTGAGTCAAGTAACCCCCAAAATACATATTTTTTGTTCGCTCTAAACTAACATATAGGGAAACTGACTTAAGGTGCTTACAGAATGAAAACAAAGGAAATAACTGGAAAAGGATTGAAACTTGCATGACTTTCAAACACCGTGCCTGTGCTCAACATATATAGGAATGTTTGACCTGCACGAACAGCTGATACAATTTGATCAATGGAAAATTATTTGTATATACAAATGGTTTACTAACAGTGAACTTTACGGTAAAAAAAAAAACAAGTACAGGCTTGATCTCATTTCATGAAATTGCAAATTTCAAAAACATGCACCTACACTGTATCCTGGAAAACTTCCTACATATGGGTCTGCAACGAGCACATTGGTACAAAATAAAACACATACGCAACCACTGTACGCAAACACCCACCCCATGAGACAGCAGCCATAAGACACGATTTGCAGCTCACAACAGTAGGTCTTCAAAGCACACCCAAGTGCCCTTGTGCACAACATTTCTACAGACAGGTGTTTTTCTGACATGATGAAACAGATCTCTCCCACGTCACCAACAAGCGCGAAGCATTGCTTCATCGTACAATGGGATTTTCAATGACTGCAATTTTGTTGCTTTCCTGGTTTCAGGAACACTGAATAAGAGAACTAAGAAGACATATGCCTCTAAACTACACTACATGTACAACGCCAAATGCTTTGGTGTGTCTCTGACGTATTTCATTTGTCATTTTTAATGAGGGTAGGCCTCAATCTGCTACAGGAATGCTCTCCATGGAGGTCCTCGGGTATATAACGTAACTTACAAATGTTATAATGTAATTCAGGCATGCAAGGGCACCTAAGACAGCCACCAAACGGCCAACATCTGGAGAAAGGAGACTAGTACTAGTAGTATGAGAAGCAGTTACAGTTTTAGAGTTGGGAGGAAAACCCCAGGAGAATATTCTGGGTAAAACCTCGGAATCAGGAAAGCCCTGCTATGTCAATTTGACTCAAGTCATGCAAAGTAACTTGGTGAGCTTACAAAATGGAAACATTACGGATTCAATGACTCATACTACAGTGCACCTGTAATCTCCCTGGAAATAGAAAAGCTTGATGTCCAAATAAGGATAACTTGCAATAAACACCGACTGATCACTGTGATTGCTCTTCTTATGCCAGTAGGGTGGATAATGTTAGTCATGTACTCCCACAAAGCTCTTGAAGTGCTGGAAAGATTGATTTGCCCATTTATATATTGTACCTAGGGCTACCATCATGCATTATTTCAGTTACAATCTTGAGGCATTAAGAGTGTCATTTTGAAACTCTTCCCAGATTCGGAAAAGTCCACCTACTCACCCGGTATGTTTGTATCTTCCTCCATATTCACTGCCGCTCATTAGCGAGGATGCACTGCCGTGTCTCTTCAGCAGTCTTGCTGCCTTGCTGCGAGCCATGTCTGAGGCTTGCCTGTCTGACATGCTTGGTATATTTTGTAGGTTTAATGTTACTGGAGACTGATGAACGTGACCTGAAGCAAAATCAAACGCAACCACCTTACATGGACATACATGAACGGTCAAGATTCGTCTGCAGTTTACAGCCAATGTTAGAAACATCTTAATTTTTCTTTTCGGTGATTCGATTGACTTGGATCCGGTGTAAGACTGCATGTGATGTCCTCATTCGGGGTTTGTATTCACAAAGAAAAGAAGAAGCTGAGCGTCAACGATAGGGGAATAATTTCCAAAGTTGGGGGACCATTCAGGTATCAGCCATTACAGGATCTGCCAAGAGTGGCNTAGGTAAATACTAATTGCCAATGTGTACACAAAAATTAGGCTTTACGGTTGGCACCATACTTTTTTATCGGTTTGAAACAAAGTCAAGTAACACCCAAAATACATATTTTTTGTTCGCTCTAAACTAACATATAGGGAAACTGACTTAAGGTGCTTACAGAATGAAAACAAAGGAAATAACTGGAAAAGGATTGAAACTAGCACGACTTTCAAACACCGAGCCTGTGCTCAACATATATAGAAATGTTTGACCTGCACGAACAGCTGATACAATTTGATCAATGGAAAATTATTTGTATATACAAATGGTTTACTAACATTGAACTTTACGGTAAAAAAAAAAACAAGTACAGACTTGATCTCATTTCATGAAATTGCAAATTTCAAAAACAATCACCTACACTGTATCCTGGAAAACTTCCTACATATGGGTCTGCAACGAGCACATTGGTACAAAATAAAACACATACGCAACCACTGTACGCAAACACCCACCCCATGAGACAGCAGCCATAAGCCACGATTTGCAGCTCACAACAGTAGGTCTTCAAAGCACACCCAAGTGCCCTTGTGCACAACATTTCTACAGACAGGTGTTTTTCTGACATGATGAAACAGATCTCTCCCACGTCACCAACAAGCGCGAAGCATTGCTTCATTGTACAATGGGATTTTCAATGACTGCAATTTTGTTGCTTTCCTGAACTAAGAAGACATATGCCTCTAAACTACACTACATGTACAACGCCAAATGCTTTGGTGTGTCTCTGACGTATTTCATTTGTCATTTTTAATGAGGGTAGGCCTCAATCTGCTACAGGAATGCTCTCCATGGAGGTCCTCGGGTATATAACGTAACTTACAAACGTTATAGTGTAATTCAGGCATGCAAGGGCACCTCATACAGCCACCAAACCGCCCATATCTGGAGAAAGGAGACTAGTACTAGTAGTACGAGAAGCAGTTACAGTTTTAGAGTTGGGAGGAAAACCCCAGGAGAATATTCTGGGTAAAACCTCGGAATCAGGAAAGCCCTACTATGCCAATCTGACTCAAGTCATGCAAAGTAACTTGGTGAGCTTACAAAATGGAAACATTAGGGATTCAATGACTCATACTACAGTGCACCTGTAATCTCCCTGGAAATAGAAAAGCTTGATGTCCAAATAAGGATAACTTGCAATAAACACCGACTGATCACTGTGATTGCTCTTCTTATGCCAAAAGGGTGGATAATGTTAGTCATTCACTCCAACAAAGCTCTTGAAGTGCTGAAAAGATTTATTTACTCATTTATACATTGTACCTAGGGCTACCATCATGCATTATTTCAGTTACAATCTTGAGACATTAAGATATTGAAACTCTTCCCAGATTTGGAAAAGTCCACCTACTCACCCGGTATGTTTGTATCTTCCTCCATATTCACTGCCGCTCATTAGCGAGGATGCACTGCCGTGTCTCTTCAGCAGTCTTGCTGCCTTGCTGCGAGCCATGTCTGAGGCTTGCCTGTCTGACATGCTTGGTATATTTTGTAGGTTTAATGTTACTGGAGACTGGTGAACGTGACCTGAAACAAAATCAAACGCAACCACCTTACATGGACATACATGAACAGTCAAGATTCTTCTGCAGTTTACAGCCAATGTTAAAAACATCTTAATTTTTCTTTTCGGTGATTCGATTGACTTGGATCCGGTGTAAGACTGCATGTGATGTCCTCATTCGGGGTTTGTATTCACCGACAACGACAAGGGAATAATTTCCAAAGTTGGGGGACCATTCAGGTATCAGCCATTACAGGATCTGCCAAAAGTGGTGGGGGGGGGGACAGGGCATTAACCCCAAGTCAACAAAGTGGGAGGGGGAGGCAGTGGTCCCTCCTTCCATTGCCAGTCCTAAGCATTCACACTGAGCCATGAAGCAGTCATCTTGGACCAATTTTGAAAGGTGTTTTAGGTTGGAATAGACAAATTTGACAATTTTGCATGTTGTGAGTAGCCACAAAAGGACTGTATGTCTAGTTCGGCTGAATAATATTTACGCCTCTAGTGGATCCTTTGCTTTAGGAATGTTTGCTCCATGACCTGGTGGGTGTTAACTTGAAACCTTGACAGGAAGGGAACATATTCAATGATATTGGCCTGACAAAATGTCCAAAAAAGGATGAACTGCCATTTTTGATAGAGAGACGCACTCTGTCAAATTTATGCCTTGCATGCTCAAGTTGTCCCGAATCCAGTTTGTAAACGATCAAGTTGTCTGACATCACTGGACAAAGTTGGAAAGAGCCTCTTCTTCTTTTTCCAGGTGGTGTGCCAACTTGATATAAATGTACTTGACGACTCAGTCACATTAATGGATAGGCAGTTCTTGGATGGAGTGCATGATAGATAGAATAGCCTACTGTTTACCACTGGAGACCCATTTGCTAGTGAGTAGTAGTAACTAGTATTTGCTTGAACTCTAATAAGGGGATATGAGCCTCCACAAGTAATTTGGGAAGCCCGTTCCATTAGAGTGCGGGAGAAGAATGACATCAGGTATATTTTCTAGAACAGAATGGAATTTTGTATTATTGTAAGCTTGGAAATTCTCCGACTTCAGTAACAATTCATTAACTTTCTTTTTCAATCGGCCACAGCCATTGACAGCCATGAATTAGAAACATGAGAAAGAAGATCCGCTGATGGTGGTTAGATCTTACATTCTACAAAACGATTGACCGATTGCGCGCCCATCAACGGAACTCCGCACGTTTTATTTCCCATGTGTCCAACATTATCGAACAATCATGACAAACGTGACATGGCGAGGATGTCCAGTTTACCGACAATACATGTACATATGTTTACTGGCTTAGCTTTTTTTTTTAAATTTTATATCATTAAACAAAATACTTTGAGAACATGGAATTCTGAACTTACCGGTCAGTTGTGCATATTAAGACCTAGCTCGTGAAGAAATCCCAGCAGATCATAAATACGCCAGCGTTTCCTGTTTTCCCGAAGATCGATATTCCCCAGTAAATTCTCTCGACTGTTGCTAATGCTGGAGCATAAATGCAGCGCCACCAACGGCGTAACCTCGGCTTCGTTTTCTGTATCGTAGGAACCGTACACAAGAATGATCGACAGGTGTCTTGACAGTTAATTGATTAAATTAGCATAAACATCAATATGGTAATTTCGCTTACAGTGATGCCCCGCCTATATTCTAGACCCTTCAGACACATTTGAAAAGGTGGTAATGACTTAATAAGTACATTAAGCAAAGTCAAACGAGAAGTGCTTCGTAGAAATAATAAGGAACCCTTTTTGGACAAAAGAGAACATTAGATGTCAATTTAATGAAATCCTTTCATTAAATTGTATTTTTCCCTACGCATCTTTTTGTCAAAAGTTAAAGTGAAGTTACCTGCCATTGGATGTTGAGTTCGCGTATACATTGAGCCGGCGGTCCAAATGACCAATCATGTTGATCTTTACAAAGGCCACCTTAGGATTCGCAAGTGACAGGTTGGACATGTTGGAAAATATGGCGACTTCCACTGCACGTCGTCTGAAATAGCGATGCTATTGTTGACTTGAAAATACTTCGATTATCGCAATGTATTTTCCCGTGGGGTGGCCCAAACATCTAGACGTGCCTTCTGTCAAAGCAGAAGCAGTCCAAGAGGTTTTAGCTTCACGGGACAGATCACTTTTTGCTGTGGTTACTTCGCAGTCCATTCATATCTGGCAGTGCAAGGTAATTTAACCCAATCGGATTGAAACTTGTAACTACTACTATTAGGCCTAAAGTAGGACTAATAATACTGTACTGTAGGCCTAACGTCTGGACGTTGGACTTCACTGTAATTAGCCGGCTTGCTTTACACGTTATGAACTGACATGTTATTGTCCATTCCCTTACGAAGCAATGATTGGCATGGTCATGATGGTCAAAATGTCTGCAAAGATTACCTTCTTGTCATTGTCAGTACATTAGTTAGGCCCCTATTTTAGTATTTTTTTTTATTAAGGCCAAGTCTAAATTGTTATCAATATCATTATCATGGCTAGCAGTTCTTATTTACTGAGGTATTATTTCATAATAAAATATTTGGCAAAAGCTTTTCTGCCTAGGCCATGAAGGCTGTTTTGAATTTTGATTTTGCTTTAAAAATGAAAATTGTACTTACATGTGTAAACAGGCCTGTGGTAGGTACAAGTAGGCCTAAGGCCTAGTAGTACTTTAAGAAATAGCATGAATCATGGTTAAGCTTAATTTTAAATGTTTAACATGTTTCACAGTTGCTTTCAGAGATAAACTTTTTAGAAAAATGGCTGGTTGACTATTCCTGTTTGAAATGAATTTAGCTTAACTGCTTTAAGTACTGTCACTTTCATTACACTTGTATTATACTTGGGCACAAATGAAAACTCGGAAAATCTGTTCAAAGTCTGAGCTGATGCCACAGCTAAGGAAAAAGTTTAAAGCATAAAATGCATCCCGGACACCGATCGTAATGGTGATCCGGATAAAATGTCATTAAAACAATGCAAGCACAGGTGACTATTGACAAAACATTTAAGCATGAGCAGGCACACCAAACCCAAACCACGGGCACCATGCCCAAAGAAAAATCCAAGACAAATGTAATATTTTGTGCATCTTCCCACCGATATTGAACATTCAGTCGGGAAGTCACATACATCAAAACCTAATAAGCATCCTCGAAATGCATACACTTGAAAACTCATTGAAGGGAAGGGCAACGTAGTAGAGGTTTCCCACTGATGTTGGACATGAAGTCAGAAAACCTCTAACCCCAATGAAGCAAACGTGATATGAAATGCACTTGAAACACATTACAAATGAATTCTAGTACTCCCACTGATGCTGCACCTTCAGTCAGGAGTATGTGAATGATATGCACTTATAAGTTACACATTGGAAACTTAAGAAGCAATATCAGTAATTCGCTTATAAGCATAAAGAACGGGTTGGTTGCTGACTGTCTGAGTCTGCCAAAAAATTGCCAGCAGTAGCTAATTAACCTCCCAGCCAATGCCGAACTTAAGTTAGGCAGCCTAAGAAGATATTGCTGGTTAGGGCCTATAAACACACCAATAATGTAATGGGACGTAAATGTACTTAACACCAGCCTCCAGTGACAGCCCTGGTGGCTCATCCAAGTAACTTAAAATTATAGCCAAAGCAAGCAATTATAGTTTACAATGTGAGACTACCGAAAATCTCATATGATCTAACTCGACCTGAAGGTGGTCGATCAGGGAGGCGGCAGGCAAAAGTAATCCAGACAAGCTAACAAAAGTTCTGCCTGCTATAAAAGGCTGTGACAGAGTGATCAGAAAATTACAGTCGCACTACGAGCCAGAAGCGGACATGGAGGCGGCTCATCTCATTGGTCAGAAGTTTTTCACACTTCTAAATTTGCATAACCAGGTTTCCCTTTGCATAATACCATATTTGACATGGCGCACTTGTGACCTCCCTCACATGAACAGGAGTAAACAAACATATATAGGTCAAGTTACACATGTACCTACCCAGTCATGCGTGTCGCAACAGCGCGTACAAGTACACCAGAGCGCCCTATCACATGGAAGCCTCTTTACCTTGCGTACTCCTGAAAGCAAACAATACGCCTAGTATCAAATCTTTAGCCATCTGATATTATATGGTTAAAAGGTGCTTTGCACAGACGTGCAGGTGTGGAAAATCACAGAACAAGGCTGTTTCTATGCTATTGTTATTCTCGTTTCCCTTGGAATGTGCTTCAGTTTCTTTCTCCCATTCTTCAAGTAAAGCAGGTTTTTTTTTTTTAAGATTTTAACCAGAAATGGCACTTTTTGTAAATATATGTAAAATCATGTGAAGTATTCACACCTGAACTGTGCACGCCTAAGATCAAGGAGATTTATAACTTTCATAAAGATCTGACCCAAGGCTGTGGCTTGCATCAGACAAGTGCATACACCGTGATAGTAGAAGTCAGGGTTGAAGTGACACATAATGACTCACAAAGAAGAGAGCTCAGACTCACGCTGAGAACTTAGACTGGAATTAGAATTTAATTAAATAACATTTGTTCATGATGTACTGTGGAAGTGCACCTATGCAAGTATGTTACACATGCACCATTAAATTATACAACGCACAAACATGCAGGTACATGTATATTGAAAGTCACAGTACTCAAAGCAGTTAAATTCGCTTCCAACAGGAAATGTTGGAAGTGTGTTGTGCTGTGAGTCATTGTCTGGCTGATGACACTGAACCTGGTAAACATTAAACCCCTGAAGGAAGCTCTGTGTACAGAGGTGTGATGTCTCTTGTTTAAGAAAGCACACCAGGATTGGTCAAAGAAATTTCTTTGATTGCAATAAAACCTGCTGGTCTGGTTCTAAGAGGGCTGATGTGGTGGGGATTTTTGTTGCTGTTTTGCTGTAAAGCAGTAGTGTTTGATTTCAACTTTCACTGGTGTCCAGTTAACTGTGGACAAAACTGATTTGCATCATGCAGTAGGTGTTGTATTATTTTGTTTTTCTTGTGACGTTTTTTGGCTTCTTTGTCCTGCTTGTTTTATACTTTTCTCTTTTCCTTGTTCAGTTAATTAATCACACCCAAATATTGAAAAGCCCCAAACATGGTTTTGCAGTATTTTCAGTGGATTTTGTTTTCAAAAGCTTAGCTGCCTTCTAAATAGCATGGTATCGGATTGACAGTTATAGTTTAATTTTTCTTGTCTCTTTCTATTTAGTATTAGTTCCTTCTCTTCTTTTACTTTCCATGCTGTAAACATTGTTTCTGCAACACGTGCAGAATTTCCTGAGGCTAATGATCTTATCTGTTACTTCTCTGTCTTGAATGTGAAATGTCATGACAAATTGAAAGGCTCTACACAAAGTCCTGCGTGGCTTGGAATTTCCTTGTTTTTTCCCTCACTCCTACAGCTTGTACATGCATATTTGTTCCTTTCTCTTTCATGTTGTCTTCTTTATGTCGTGTTTCCTTCCTTGTTCATTTCTCTTTCGTTGGTTTCTTGTGTGCTACTTTTCTATTTTGCCTGGAATATTTTCTGAAATTAGTCCAGGTTCACATGTGTATTTCAGGCAGATTAGTTTTTGACAGTAACCCCCTAGGCCTTTTTACTCGGAACCATCCTGAATCCTCTGATTTTCAATGTGAAAAAATTGCATTCAGCCCAAATCCTCCAAAATCCTCCAAAATTTCTTGGAAATGTCATTTGGAGGTGTGCATAACTGCCCAAATCCTTCAAAATCCTCCGGCAATTCCTGTCATTATGTTGAGGCAGTGAAAATGGCATTCTTGAGCTGTGCAGTTGATTCAAAAGAAATATCGGGCTGAATTTGTGCTTGACTAAGCACAAACAAGATAAGGTCTAATCCACGACCTTCATGTATGACATCCTTCAAAATCAGCCATGCAATTTTTCCATACACCCTGAATCCTCCAAATTCCTCCACTTTGCAGAAAAGGATTTTGGAGGATTTTGATGGGTTAAAGTTAATGATCTGTAGAACAACGATGATCGATTTGATCTGTAATTTACCATGCTGCATTCAATTTCCATTTTTTTTGCAAGAAGCTGTGAGAATTATTTTCTTAATTATACTTGTACGTTAAAAAGTTTCCTAAAATGAAAAAAAAACTCCTCTGCATGCATATCTTATGTAGCCCTGTGTCCTGGTGGTGACATACAGACGATCAGATGATTCTCTCATTGTACTGGGAACCAACCATTGTGTTCAGTGGCGACCAGACTGCACTGTCTTGGCAGTTGGGGTGAGTTGGAAAGGAACTGAAGTCAGTACATTTAACTACGGTAATGCCAAACTTGGCCAATCAACAAGAAGGTGGCATTTTGTCATGTTTGTTGGCATTTGGTTCTCGTCTGACGTCATTTCCCCATGGACTGGTACATGTAATACATGTAATATGGAAATGAGGAACTCAAACAGTTTACATTTATACAAGTCCTGGTTGACTGCATGTACATAAGTTAAGCAACGCTAATCAGTAAACAAAATAAAAAAAGTTTCAAAATTGGTAAATTCACAAATGATAGTGATTTGATTGAAATTCAGAACAGGAATGTACTTTGTGCCTGGCTGTACATGTGCAGTCTAGTTCATGCACACTGTTATATGGTGTGAGCTTAATTGACATCCACACTACCAGTAACTTGAAGTTCTGGCACATTGTGTTGTCTTGTTTGTTAAGCATTTCAGTAATAATGTTACATGTATAAGCTGTCGGCCAGTCACAGAACAGAATCTATGAGATAGGGTAACCTTGGTATGAATGCATACCATGCTGGGTTCTCCCGTGGACACAAAGAAGAACTTTTCAAGTAGGGTAACACCGTTGGCAATCCTACAACATTGATGAGGATCGTATTGGAGACTGATGGATAAGGCCCAATGCCTCAGCTGTTGAAGGGGCTGTAGGCTGTATTATGACGGTCACTAGTCAGAATCCCTCTGAAGTCATCTTTATAGGTTCCAAATGTATCTTTTTTTTCTGGCAGACATCCCTTGGTCACTTGCTTCTCTTCAAAGTACAACACGAAGGTGGCCAGAAACTCTTCTCTACAAAACAATCCAGGTAACCTGGAAACAACAAGTGAATTTTAGGCAAAGTCCGAGCGAGAACTAAACTGATGCTGTTGATTTTTTTCAATTCGTTTTTACAAGATCCATGCAAGTACTGGTAGAGGATGCTATGGATTGGACCAACATTAGTCCGTCGCTTGTAAATAATTGTGCTGCATTACGAATCATAAAAACAAGCTTAATAAGCATAATGTCGAAATTTTGCTTTTGAAAGTGCACATTGTGTAAAGTCCTCAAGAAACAATGTTCGATTGTTTGGGGTTTTTTAGCTCCACCCACTACAGGTGGGATGCGACCGAAGCTGATACGAATGCAGTTCCCATGCTGAAGATCTCATACTCCTATACATTACAGATACCAGGCGGCGTCAACAGGTGGGATCTTTGTTTACCCTGGACATGCCTGAATGTCATTTCTAAGGCTGTGTAAGCCACAAGTGGAAATATGCCTCAAGAGGATCTTTAATTTGACTTTGCTCAGTGGAAAATGGTTCTTGCCATATTGATCAGCAAACTGTAGATGAATACCAGTTGCGAGCTGTTACTTCAAATGTTGAGCAATGGCTGTTAACCAGGGCTTTATGAAGTTAAGTGTTGAGGTGCGATTTACCTGTTCACTTAAGTATATGCAGCTTGAATGTATCAATTGTATCCAAAAGTATCCAAAGTCTTTTTGTATCCGATTTAATTTTTTCACAAAGCTTGTTTGGTTACCTCTTTTTTTGGGGGGGTGCTTTTTTCTCATAGCCTGTGCTGCCTGAAGGATGACCTCTTGGTTGCTACTGGCAACGGCCTGTTGATGCGAGTAGGATGGGATGGCAGTTGCCGTAACTTGATGGATATATCAATCAGGGCCATTCCGTTCTCAATAGACTTGCAGCAGTCCCGAGGTAGGTAGTAATGCTATATGTTGTGTCGTTTTAGAGGAAAAGGGAACTAAGAATAGTCCAGTACATTTTGTTGAGTCGTAGTTTTTCCAAAATTCATATTTCAGAGTAGGGTAGAAAGTACAGTCCTGTTGAAATAGTGATTTTGCAGGGGAAAATGTTTGATGATTTCATGGTACAGTGTACTGCAGTGAGATGTAATTTTTTAGATCAAATTTCCTCGTGTAAATCAACTCTTTAAGCATTTTTTATGTCCATTAACGTTTCTTGATAGCCGAAGATAGAAAAGAGATTTGAATTCCGTGTTGCAATGTGTCTGACATGACTATCCAACATCGGGAAGGACTGAAAAAAATGTTGGCAACATAAAAGAGCCCCTCAGTCATGCCACTTAGAAGAAATTCCTCAAAGATAAGCTTTCAGTGTATTTACTGTGTAAATGCTTATGCTATCCTGTTGGTGCCTTGGCACTTCCTGGAATGATTAAAGTGAAATCAATACCATGTGCTTGACACTTCATGATCTGTAGCCATGTTTGTGCTTCATGTTACATTCTATGGTTGCATATGTATTCTTGTTGCATTGAACGGATCCAGTTGGAACAGCAGGGACAATTTTATGTGATCCAGTCCACGAGTCATAAATTTCCCACTTCTAACATGTAATTGTATTGTTCATACAGTGTATTTGTAAATTGTTTTCGACAGCAGTAATAACATGAAACATCTGTTCCATTCAGCTGTTGACAGGAAATGAGTTATCTGTTTCCTGCCTAGAATTTGTGTTTATCAAACCTGGTTTAAATTAAATTGACAGTAATTGAAACAGTCATTCGGAATTGATCTGCCTTTGGTTACATTTGTACCAAAACTTTTGCGCCCCAAAAGGGTCTGCTTCTTCAAGCTGAATTTTGCTTCAAAGGGCAGTTAGGTTGGAGGTTTGAAGCACGGTCTCCTATTACTTGCAATTGATTGTTTATTAATTTAGAAAACTAATGCAAAAGGGAGTTAGAACGAACAAGCACAGGTGTCTCAATTACAGTTGTTTTAAACGCAGTGACACTTACCCTTACATGTAGCTCAGTTTATTGAACAAGTCTATTACCTTTAAATGCGACTTTTTTTCTTATTCAGAGGTACATTTTAAGTAGGCTTAAAGGCCAAGGTTCCTTCAGATCCCCATCAAAATTCTCGGAAAATTCGCAGGAAATGAGCATATATTTTCACTGTTCAATCTGCCGAGCCTATATGTTTTCACAGCCAGTGATGTATTTTGACTGTCTTCCTGGAATCTGTACATGTGGGGTAAAAAATGATAACCCCGTGAACCTTTGAACTTGCAGAGTCAACATTGGGTGACACCACCCTGTCCTTCAAGCAGTCTGAGTACAGCATGATCCTTGGAGGCCTGGCCGTCGTCCTGTCAGATGGTAGAGCAGCTTTCCTGACCGCAGAGAACAGCAAGTTTGAACCAAGAGTAAGGAACTAATGCTGCTGATAGTCAGGAATATTAGTCCTGACACCCTAGGGTGTATGGAGCAAAATATTGAAATCAGAGGATGGAGGACTGTTAGGGTGAAAGGTCATATTTGACTGGACCCCACAAAATGACTCATTTTGTGGGGTTAAAAACTCTCGATGCAGGTTTTTTTTAGTGACTGTTTGTTTGCATTAGAGAGAGGAAACCAAGTGGTTTGTTTTGATATAACACTCAGTTTTACATCCTAGTGAAAACTGACATGGTGGGTGAAAGATGTCAGAGTTCCTGTTGATATGAGGTTTATTCCAGAAATTAGGGGTCCGTTTTTTTCGTGTCTCTGTCACATCTGACATATGGTTTTGTAAGTTCAGAACACATTTTCTAATTTTCTAGAGTGATGATTAATGCAAATTACCTGCCAAACAAATAGTAATAGTTTGAAATCAATTCTGGTGATATTTCCATGTCAAATAACAAAGGTCAGATGTAACAGGGACACAAAAATGTCACACTTTTGGACCCCTAATTTCTGGAATTACCCATAGATGGCAGTCAAGGAACAAATGTGGTTATATCGGTATACGGCACACCGGATGTACAAAAACGCAGGGAATATTATTTTAAATTCTCAATTCTCATGCAGAAAAATATGGTATACATGTAGATTCTAGCTGCATATATTGTATACCAAGAATATTCATATTGTGCAAATGCATGAAAAATACATGTTCAATTTGGACATCCACCTGTTGCATCCTGTTAGCATTAACAGCCCATGCACCTGCAATGCAACCTACCGTAAGAAGCTGCAAGTTCGACATGCACATAAAGTTTAAATGGAAAATGCATTATGCATGGATTGGTTTATATCTCAATGAAAGTTGCCATATGTCAGTTGTTGAGTCATTAGGCTTGGCAAGAAGTCAGCATTACGTGTAGCCAGAGCCTGTTGATAGAAGTCCCATGTGAGGTCAGAGATCAGGAAGTCCACCTGCTTGTATAAGGGTCTCCATAGTTAATTCCATGGTTCTTATTTCTGACCAACCCGTTTTGGTTTTGTGCCTACCGACGGGGGAAAAAGTTTATCTCTGCCACCAACCCTGTCTTGTATTTCCTACCTAGAAAAAAAATTCTTAAAAGTTTCTAAAGGCCAAAGAAATATGAGAACCGTAGAATTAAGTGTGGACGCCCCAATGATGGTGGCTTGTCATATGCAGTGTTGAGAAAATCATACAGTATTTGTAGTTCCTACTGCGTTCTTACTTGAAACGTTTATGAATGAATTATCCTAAACACTCCTCTTTCCAGAAAACCAGTGGCTGATTCGTTGCACTGTAACTTTCTCAGAGCATCATCAAGTTACACAAAGTAATCTTTTCTCAGGACTAAATTACACAATATAACAACTCAGGATCCCGTCTGTGTTTTTCTCCCTCAGGCAGTACATGCAGTCTGGGCACCAGACATCACCACTGCATGCTGCGTCGCCATCAACCATAAGTATCGTCTCATCGTGTACGGCCTGTCCAAGTATGTCCGGCCCTGTCCAAATATATCCGGCCCTGTCCAAATTGACCCAGCTATAGCTAGCATTAACATGAAGGCCTATAGGAGCTGTGGCTTGTGGGTGATCCCATTTCTCATCGATGCATGTGTTGCATCCTGGACTTTTACACAGTCCCAATTATGATGTTCGTCATTCTAGTCAGTCGTGCCATGTAGTCAATGGCACTGTGGAATTTAAGTTCTTTTGTGAGTTGTGGGGTCCTGAGAAGAACCAGCCGTTTTCAATCATAAAAGAGAGTTGCTTCCGTGATGTTGCCACAAGACGTCGTATGTTATGTCTATCATACAAATCTACCAGTCTTTTTTGTACTGTTCTTTGTTACTGCACTAAGCGATTTGTCGAGAGAATTGCAAGGTTTTTATTGAATTTTGCTTGTTTCATTTTTTGGAAACTCTGCGCTTGATAGGGCATGCACTGAAAGATACACGTTGGGGTCAAATGTTTCTAGACTGCTTTTATTATTGTTACTTTTGATCTTGTAAAAATCGTAACAACGCTGCTTGAGATATTAATGTAATCAGCATACCTTTGTTTTGATATTTCGTGCAGTGGTCAAGGTGTGGTTTTTGCTGTTGACGAGGTAACTGGTGCCCTGCTGTTGTCACATCGGTTAACACTCTCCAGTTCTGACTTTCCAGGTAACAGAACGGAATGAAATTTGTATGAAATGTGGAGCTGCATGCAGGGCTTTGATAGCAAGTCCACCAAGAGTCTGAAGAGAAGCTCACGTTGGTATACAGAGCTGTGAATTTCTCCCTTTGTCAGACTAAGATTAAAACAGTGTACTAAGTTCTTACAAAGAGCTGTTGAAAAACGTCTACTATGGAAGTTTTGCATGTCTGCATATTCCAGGCCAGTTCTTTTGTTCCACAGGGTATGCACAAAGAAGGTTTCCTTGTGGAACAAAAGAACTACCTTGCATGATGGCTACCACGTGAGGCCTCTACGCAGGCAAAACTCAAACCGGTCACCACGCAGCTTTAAAAGCCCTATTAAAAGTTGTATGTGACCAAGATTTGTTGGAGATAATTTCAAATAGTTCTTTTTGGGAAATTTGAGAACTTAAAACTCACTCAAAATTGTAAGTCCTTAAAGAGTGACGTAACTACAAGTTGTGTACATCTCATTGATTGTTACCAGATGGTTGCCAAGCAGCGGGGCCTGTTTCCATAGTGAAGTGGACCCCCGATGGCTGCGCTTTGGCCTACGCCTGGCAACAGGGCGGATTGGCTCTCTGGAGTGTCTTTGGAGCATTGCTCATGTGTACTTTCAGCGGAGATTACGGGTGAGACCTGAAAATAGGTTTAGTGTAATTCCTTTTGTCCTGACATCAATCCTCAGTGCTGCTTGATGTTGTTTAAATATTTTGCTTTAAACTTTGGTCGATTTAGAACCTGTCATATAACCCTGAACAGAAAAAATGCCAGACCCGTACAATTTTTTATATTTCTGACTTTGAAGTTTACTCAGTGTGACTTGTGAGTGTTTAATGAGTTGACTCTTGATGTTATTTAGGTTTGTTATGATTTTAATATTGGGATACCTCCTTTTTTTATTTGTCATAAGCTCACAGCAATCTTTTTAAAAGGATTTCACCGGGTTTGGCAATGAGCCCGTAAGCCGTTGAGGAAATCTGTTTGTGTTTGTTTTTCCATATGAGTTTGGGTGTCAAGTTCTTTTTATCCATTTTCGTTGGCAGGCTTTGTCCAGATACAAGCAGGCCTTACCCACTGCACGTTCAGTCCATGGTGAGTGACCACTTTCCAGTGGTTCTGAAATTCTGCTGAGGGTCTAGAGGTCATGACCTTGGTTGCCCTTGAATTATTCCCTCAAAGGTGTGGAGTTTGTTAGGCTAATGGCTTCTGTTTTCTGAAGAAAAATGTCTAAGCTCCTTCCAAAAGAATGTCCAAGATTAGTTCTTTTACCTCCAAATCGCGGCTTCTCAGGCTTTCAGGCTTCGTTTTTATAAACTTTCATGTCCCAGAAGCAAGGCTGGCTTGCTCAACCCGACCCCATTTTTCTGTCGTGTTACATTAGTTTTTGCACTGATCTTATTTGTTTCTGCTTTGCCATGCAGGATTGGGATCCAGAAGGTTACAATCTGTGGCTGACGACCGCTCCCCAGTCCAGCCAAGACAGACGGACTTCTGGTGCTGGTATACCCTTCCCACCTGTCGTTCAGCAGCCCGATCAGCTAGCCGGGGAGTTACTGTTGGTAGCGTTTGTCAAAAGCGCCCTGACCACCAACCCTTGCATGGTGGGTAAAGGCTCTGTGTTAACATGCGAAGCCTCCCATGTGTGCTGTTACTTTACTTTTTTGTTGTGAAATCCTGTTAGCAAGTGATAGTCCTTGGGAACACCGTGGAAAGATGTGTACGTTAGTTACAGTGCCGGGGGGTATATGTTTTATCTTGGCTTTTGTTGATTCCTAACCTTCTGCAGTCCAACCACGAGCACTTGTTTCTGCAAGGAGAAGACCGGTTATATCTGAACACGGGCGATACGATACTGAAGACAGGTCAGGCTGACGTCCCGTTGGACCAGAGCCCAGTCTCAGTTCCTTCACAGGGTAATGCACCAGGTGAGTACATGCTGCACCATTCCAATCAAGTTTGTGACGAGGAAAGTTCACATTTGACTCGCCTCAGAGGAATGCTGCAGTTTGGCCTGGCAGTCGCAGAGTTTCTTACCACACAAAGTGAAGTGAGCTTTATACTTTGACAGAGAAATTTTTGCCCTCTGTGTGATGATATGACATGTTTGGATCTCATAAAAGGTGTTTGAATGCCATCTGTAGACTTCATTCAAGCCTGAATTTGAAGGGTTATTTATTAACAATTAGCCTGTGAGGACTTGAATTTGATATGTCTTGATTCTGTGCCAGTTTCAGTTTGTGAGCCATCGGGGAGTAGTGTGCTGATTGGCAACAAACAGTGGCAAATCCTGTCCTTACCGTACAGTTACATGGCCAGCAACTGGCCGCTGAGGGTAGGTTTATCCTTAATAAGTTTTATTTGAGTGGGTTCGGTCCTTAGAGATGTGGGTCCTTCTTTGTCTTTGGCAGTAACCAGTGGCACGTCCTGTCATATTCATTCCGTGATATGGCCATCAACTAATCTCTTCTTGGTCCCATTCCAATAAGTTCCTTATTACAGCATTTAGCTGTGGATCCGTCTA